GGGCGGAACCTTCTTCAAAAATGCAATGCTTTATGAAATCATTTCGGAAAATCATAACTCCTGTCCCCGTGGACCCAGAAAGTTCAAACGTGGTAGGAGTGCAGGCGGCAGGATGGGAACGCTTGTGCTGAGCGTCAGACCGGACTCCGCCCTTAGTGGGCCAGCGGGCGGAGTTTGAGTGGAAATTCACAGCACCTGTTTCCGTGGACCTAGAGCGCTCAAAGTTGATGGGTGGTGCAAGCAGGGAGGCCATTTTAACGGGTTAAGGAGGGAAGCCAGGCGTCAGCCGGGCGAGTCGACCGGTGATTATATAGCTCTCTTGCATCGAATGGTGCGAGTTGTGAGAAGGAATATCATTCCGGAACTGGAATACGGAATACTTTACTTTTCTGCACATGTTTCCCTTGAATAGCACATGGCTGGGTCATAATGACACGTTCTATACTAAATTGGCTGTGAATTATCGCCAAAATGCGAAGTGATTCTTACTGGATTAAATTCACACCAATGTTCTCAGCACGCACGTTAATGTCTAGAATTGTCGGAATTATACGCTGGCGCTGGCAATGCTCCATTCAGCATATTTTTCACTTCAGGGATCCTCTGACACAAGCTGGTGCTGTTTCTCGAAGTGTGCTCCCACGTGAAGAAAATTTCATTACAGTTAGCCCTGCATTCTCTTTGCCGATGCAATCGTGTAACTTCCTCAGCACCAATTGGTTGAGGTACGCGTATGACTTTTTTGATGCGCTTCGTTTGTTTTTATAAAGTTGAAAGCATCCGACCATTTGTAGTGCTGACGACGTGAATGATTGTTTTTCTTCAACGACGCCATTGATGCTTATGACGGGATCTCAATCACGAGCCGGATCACTAGCAGGCCTAAATGTGCCAATCCCGCCTTCTCCAAATCAGTTGTCAATGCCTGTAAGATTCTACTTATGATACTGGTACTTACTAGTTGGGTTGACGCAAACAGAGGCGGTTTCGTTAGTAGGTTGTGAGATTAACCGTGCGATTACTCATTTTCCGTGAATGAATTCGCTCACCGTCGCAGTCTATTACTCCTGGAATATTATCAAGTCGCCTACCGCTCGGCCGACTTTCGCCTACCTTTCTTTTAGTTGTGGACCGAGAGAGGTGGAAATAAACAGCGCAAACGAATTAGCTAAGCACAGATTAATAAGGGCGAGTCCTATATGGCCTCCTCGAGCTCCATGAAGCTTCCCTCGGTTTCGAAAGTAAAATTACTTGGGTCGATTCCAGACAATCGCAGATACCCAGTAAAGTGGGTAAGGGTGAGTTGAGGGTAGAATTATGAGGCGAATGAGTGGCTTACAGTGGAGGCAAGTCGAAGCGCAGTTGGACGTGGATTCCCCATGGGTGTATATGCGAAAAAGCGTTCCCATAGCTCTCGGGTGTCGACTGGAGACGTGGCAAATACGTTGGATGAGGCTGGAGGCCGAGGATGCCTGAGGCCATCTTCGGAGCGGAAAAAGTCGACGGAGAATTATATGGAGAAGAAGAACAAGAGGGCTCGCGATATTTGGAAAAGACAACGCGACAGGACTTACTCCCTGGCTGGTGCCCTGGCAACGAAGCGGCTTTTTCAGCAGGTTGACGGATGGTCGATCCGGATGAAAACGGGTTGAGCGGCAAGTTCCGCTGATGAAACTGTTACATGAAGAGGAGTGTGCAACTGACTTAGAAAGGCCAAAGAGAAATGGAGCGTATTTTGCGTATCGCGACTACTACCGCTGCTAAGCGAAGGTGGAACGTCCGGTGGATGCGATGATGACGCTCCAGTAGAGCTCGGTGGATCAGACATTTGGGCTTATACCCCTGCTTGTTGACTTGGCGATTGACGAAGACCAGTAGCGGTGGCTGCGTCTACTTCAAGCGAAGGAGCCGTCGGGTATGTCGAAGCTGGGTCGCCCATTTCACGCGAGTCGCTAGAAGTCGACATGATGTCAACCTATCTGAAACAAAGGAAGTTGAAACTGGAGGCGTTGTGATCTCGTAATTTCGAGTATAAAGTAACGATGAAATTGGGGTATGACGTCCGATACATCGACGACGGTCGACTTCTGAAACGTGTGTTATAAGTATGGGTTGAGTAGGGAGGAAGTGCTGGGGTGAGAGGGTTGAACATATCCTAACACTGATACAGAAGTGCCTCCTGCGGCGTCTAGGAGATGTTGTTCTATTTCTGGCTGCCAAAGTGATGTAAAGACGGGGTCTGAAAGCGCGAAACATCGTTTGACCTGACTCATGTGCACGCGCTTGGGCTGGTTCTAAAGAGCTGTTATACAGAAGATGGTAGGGTAAGGACCTCTCTCAATCATGGGTAGCATAGTTTGGGGGATAAACCCACCTTGGGCTGAAAGTCGCATCACCCCACCCTGACGCCGTCCCCGACCTTGATCTCTCATGGTAGGAGGCCTTTGCGATCGTAGTGGCGCTTCATGATTTCACTTGGCTTTTGGTCGAATGCAGGGGCGCCGGTCCAGCACGTATAAGGTGTTTTTACCAGCGACTCCTTATAAACGCCGCTATCTTCGTCTGATGGAACGTGACCCTGAAGGCAATGATTTGTAAGCAGGTCTATGTTGAGAACGGGTAAATATATCTTGTCAAAGATTGCTCCGGCGTGAAGAGGTGAAGGCTTCCCTCGAGGCCTCTTACACTGGCATGCTTCGCAAGAGTCTGACGTATTTGAAAATATCCTCACGCATCGTGGGCCAGAAGAATCGACGCGAAACTTTAGCCAAAGTGCCCTCCCGCAGTGGGACTGTCGTGAAGAGCCAGTCAAATCGGTCCTCGTAAAGACTGCGGAAGGAATATGACTGCGCGGTCGCTTGGGTTGACTCGGCTACCGGGGCGTGAGGCCCTGCATAGTAAAGGCATCCGTTCAGTCGAAGAATGCAGTGGTCAATTCATCGACAGGAGTTCGCGAATATCCGCAGATGCTTCGGGTAGAAAAGATCCTGTGTCCAAGAAATGCATGTTGTCGCTGCGTAAAGGAGCTAAAACGGCATCGTAAGGGCGGATGTATAAGGGATTTGGCAATGTCGCTGATGTAGATGTACTTGATCGCCGGTGAAGTGTTAGTTGAACGAGGCACCGGGGAAACTCGATGACGTCGTCACTGGCGGGAGTGCCGTCTACGAACTGAACATGTCGGCTCAAATGGTCTGCTACGATGTTGGGCGAACCCTTGTGATATTCAATGGTTATGTCAAAGCTTTTAAGCTCAACAACCCAACGAGTGAGATTTTTATGGAGTTTGCGGTGGCGCAAGAGGAAAGTGAATGGCTGATGGTCACATATCACTCGTGTATTGTTGCCGTATATGGTGGGTTGAAAAAAAAACGGAAGGCGCTAATCATGGCGAACAACTCTATGTGAGTGGGGCTCCATTTCTGTTGTGACGGTGACAAGTCTTGCTGAAGTATCCTCTGGCCACTGGGGGCAAGCAGGGGTCGTGGATTTGTAGGAGGGCCGCGCCCACTGCTACCTTGCTGCCGTCCGTAAGAAGTATGAATTTTCTATCCTGGGGGGAGCCAGGCAGGGTCGGCTTATCATGCATCCTTTATAAGAGTGAAGGCCGCCGCTTCGCCCTCACCCCATCGAAAGTCTACACTGTTCTTGCACAGTGCGTAGAGAGGCCCTGCTATAGAGGCAAAGTCTTAAATGAATTTGCGAGAGAAATTGGCCATCTCTAGAGAGCCCTTAACCGCCTCAATGATAATGGGGCTGGTAAAATCCGAGCAGCTTGGAGATTGTAATCCGCTGGAGCATAGGTAGCGTCTGAAATCTCGTGTCTCAGGAAGGTGATCTAAGATGGGCGATGCAGATTAGTTTCTTGCTGGGGACCTTGATATCGAATGTACGGAAGCGTTCCAACACTCTCCGAAGGGATGTTAAATGAGCGTCAAAATAAATGTCAAAAACGATGATATCATCGAAGTAGACCAAGCAGTTGTCGTCCAGCCCTAAGAGAATACGGGACATCGCTCTGCAAAAGTAGGCTTCTGCGTTACGATGCCCGAACTGCAAATGAACGAATTGATATATGCCCCGGTGGGTTGCATTTGGCCTCGCTTTCAGGAGAGAGCTAGAGTTGCATGTATCCGGAAGCTAAGTCAAAAGAGGTATAGTATCTTTCACCAACAACTCGTTCCAACAAGTCTTCAATTCGGGGTAGCGGGTAATATCGTCGAGCGGGCGGAGGTCTAAGCAGACTCGCAGGGACCCACCTTTCTTTTTGACCAAGAACATGTTGTGGAACCAAGAGGTATCGCCCTCAACAATCCGTCCAGCTGCCAAAAATTTGTTGATGTGGTCGACGAGCTCCTGGTAGGTCAATATCGAGAGGGTGGTATCTCCGACCTCCGACGTAGTTTTGGTAGTTATTTGCGTATGGTCGTAGGAGCCCAGTTCGTAAGATGACTAGAATACGATCTTGGAATTCTGTAAAAAGGTCGTACAGTTGTTGACGTTGTTCGGTGGTAACATCGGAGTGTGACAAATCTAAAGCCCATGAAGTAGATGGTGGTGCTTTCGGTTCCGGCGCCCCGATGGGTGAACAGAAAGTGCTAAAAGCGCTAGCGAAGCTCGAGCACGGTACCGTTGGGGAGCTCCAGAACCGGTCGCGCTAATGTGAGACGTCGGTTTTTGTAGATAATTCTGGGAGTATCAGTAGGGTTGCTCAGTAGCAGACGAGTTTGTTTAGTCTTTGTGACCGCTGGAGCGATCATAATATCGTCTTCAGGAAGGACGGATCTTCCCGTCAGTATTGTGGGGTTACAGGAATGTTGTCAACCGCGTGTGGAGTGACCGGTACTTTCATGGTCCGCCGGCCGGCGAGCCGGCGCACTGACGTAAAACCGAGAAATAAAATGCAACAGACGTACATAGATTTCCTACACATGAACTATTTCGTTTTACATCAGGTGGGCCGGCGCGCCGGCCGGTCGGCCGACGGACTCTGAAAGCGGCCACTCAGTGTTTTTGTCATTTTCTCTGCTCCCTCTTCATTAGGCATCTCAGTGCGCAGAGGATAAAGTGCAGAGGGAGTAGCTCGTTATCTCTCTTGGCCACACTACCGCAGTACAGTTGATAATACGTTTACCTAATATGTTAATGAGTGTTTCATAAAGGTATACTCAGTAATACATTTTTATTTCAGAACCACCACACCATATCAAGTTTTTACTGCACAGCCTATTCTGTTTTCCAAAAGGTTGCTATTATTCTCTGGCTCGTTCGGAGCTCAAAATTTCAGCGCGATCTGAAGTCTTTTGCATTCGTCATTGATAATAATAATGGTTCATCCGTGCTTTGTCAAACGGTCTAAATTTCTGTTCAGAAGTGGTATTTGATGTTAAACATTAACTTGGATAATTCTTTACCAGTATTAGTACAATTCTAATCGGTTGGGCAACTACTTTGCGGTACAAATATAAGAATACTTTTACATCAGGGTAACAGCTTAAACTGATAAACGTCCTTCTTCTTGATCCTTCACCTTCATACTCTCGTAGACCACAAGACGGATTTAATCGTCCCGAACAGTAACCCGAACACACTCAGCGCCACATATACGATGCAACATAATGGCATCCCGTGGGGCACTAGGGGGTTACTAAATCACACGTTCACGGGACGTTAAAATCCCTCTAATCCATAAACCCTCTCGTACACGCGCCCACTTTTGACGAGAGCACATCGAAGGGAGGAGACTGCAGACACCGAGCGTGCACGCCCTCTCCCGGCTGACAGGCACGATACACAGAAACTGTATCTCCATCTGATTCTCTCGGCGAGGGGAATTTTGGTTGACAACATTCCTGTAACCGTATTGTGGAAACTTGGTATCCAGTTCGGACCACCTTGCATGGCACGAAGATTTCGGATGCTGGGGGTAGAACAACCGTAGAACAGTGGGTGCCGAGGAGCTGTTGGGGATTGCATGCTCCGAACCCGCAGTAAGAATCGAGAAGGGGTCGCCTCGAGGAAGACCCGTTACTCGTAGTTCAGAAACCAATGGGAAAGCGTGCAAGAAGTCGTTGCCTAGTATTACGTTATAAGCATCTGCAACACGAGGAACGCAGTCCGACTCGATAAAGTGGACCTTGTAGTCAATGAGGTGTCTGCCGAACTGAAGAGAAACAAACGTGGTGCCTACAAATTTCGCCGGAACCCCTACAATGCCTACTGCTGCCGGAACCGTGCAGGACCCCAGCTGGAACACCCCGAGAAACGAAAGCAGGGACTAACTCGCTATGGTGACCCCGGCGCCGGTGTCCACGAGACCCAGCATGTGCACGCCATTGGCTCGAATGGGGATTTGTGTAACCAAGAAGGGCCGATGACCGGTTAACACAAGACAAAACAGCTTGCCAACTATTGACCGTATCAATTTCGTTTTGGGATATATCCAGCTCGAACGGCCGCGGAGTGGGTTAGCAGCGGGGGGAAGCGTAGATGCATATGTGGACTGGGGTATGGCTGGCGAAGCTAAAGAAGCGTTAGTGCAAGGATGGAGCGTACAGTCTAAGATATAGAACGACAAGGGATTTGATGGATGATAATGTAACCAAAAGTCCACAAAAGGAAATCCAATAATCGTAAATAGAAAAGGACCAAAACGGCAAGAGAAGACTAGAGGATAGCAGACTCACGGTAGCTGCCGAATTGTCGGATTCTGATGTCTCACGTGTTAAAAATACTCGACGAGGCAAGAATGATTGCGAGCCGCCCATAGCTCCTGAAGTTGCTGACTACCTGAAGCTTCACTACAATTTGTTGGCAGCAAATTATGAAATAGTGCGAGAGGGGAGTTTATCGGGAAAAAGACCGGTTAAGAGGTGGACGGAAGAGTCGAGACTGTACCAAGAGCTGAGGATGTCCACGAACCGTCGAGTGGGGAGAACGTATGGAAACCGAATGGAAAACAAATGACAACTTCGGAGCAACCAATAGTGTTGGCATTTCTTTGCACTATCCGTGTTACGGGGTCAATGAAAGTCCGGAGCGAGGAGCCGCTTGGAAGGCAGACCTCAATGCGTGGCAAGGCATAGCAGGTTCCGTTGAGAGGAACCAATTTTAGCGAGCGATATGGTGTGTAAAGGGGTCGTCAAGACATGAGTACGGTCGCACAACACCTGCAGCGCGTTACGGAAAAGAGTGTTCACCGAGGAGTACGTGGAACCCTCGATCACTAAGAGTTGTAGGCGATCGCCGATTGGAAGTCCACCAAGCCCACTTCGGCGTTGGTGGGACGGGGGTGCCGCCGCATACGCGCAATGGTGTACCCTTGATCCGTTAAGATGAGTTGCTTGGCGCAGTCGACCACAAGGGACTGGTCGGACCACGACAAGGCGAGATCTTTATCTTCGCCAATCCACAGAAAACCAAGCCTTTGGCCAGACAGGCGGGACACGAGGATGTGAGCGCACTCTTCATTCACGTCCGGAGACCAAATAAGCAAGAATCCATCCGTCGGAGTGCAAGATCCATCCTTGTAGGAACACGCCGACAAGTCGCCTACCGGCGACAGAGTGGCGGATGGGAACAGTGGAATTAAACTGTGGCAATTTGTTACCTCCATTATATGCTTCACACAACAACCGAAAGGAGCAGAAAGATAAGAGAAATTCACCGGATGCTGAGCACGCCATACGCCGGATGTTGCCAACTCGCCGAACAGAGCGATGGTGCTATGTCTTCTGTCTGCACTCCCCTTCCTTAACCACAAGACTGGACTTTCGATGAGATTCCTTCTGGACCCCGAAGAAGTTGACTGATTACGTCGCTGTATGTCGGATAATCTTGCAAAGAGCTGCGGGCGTGGGCTACAATTTAGTTTTAGAGCGGTAGAGGTGAACAGACAGCTTATATGCCGACACCGCATTGTTCAGCAGAAAAGCTGAACAGTTCTGAAGCTGTGGTACAAATGTGATAGGATGGTCGGGAGGGCACAGCCACGCTCCGAAAGCAGAACACGGGCTCACTAACGTGCAGACAGAAACAGTCGTGAAGAGTAAGACGAATGTCGGGAAGAGGTGAAGCGTGAGCTTGCGCTTGCGATGATGTTGATTGAAGATAGATGATTGAGCCAGCTCATCATTCTGCCGCAAGAAAGGCTCAATGCGAGCTTGCTAGCTGCGAGTTGTCGGTGAGTATCCTCAAGGGATGCCGATAGTGGGGCGATCTTGCTGAAGGGCTCGGTTGGGGGAGGCGCACTGTGAAAATTCTCCGATACGGTAGTCATGAAACGTGATGTCAACGACAACAAGTTAGCAGCTGGTAAGCGCCGAGAGTTGCTGATCTTCCGTGCAGCTGGAACGAGTGGCGTAGGGGGGGGGGGATGAGCAGATGCCACGTGGTGAGGGACGGACTGATGCAAAATGTCCTTGGCCGTTGCAGTTAAATCAGTGGAGCCTGGATCCAAAGCGAGAAGTCTATGTAGGGGACTATTTGTTTTGTCCGATTGGAGAAGTGGAGATCGTGGAACGGGAGCGTTGGATCCGCGTAGCAAGACATTTTCAAGCAACGGGTTTCTGTTACGTGTCAGAACTGACCCCTGACCACCTCGTGATCAAACCTGTATGGCGGCGGAGAACATTGTGGGGTGTAAGCGACGTTCCACCGCGGCTTTGCTAAGTAGTTGCTCGACGGTTTGGGCTTTTGTCACGGCATGCTCAAAGGTGGTGGGGTTCCTTAATTTAGCGAAATAGCGAACATCCCCCCCTCCCCGTAAACACGCAACGAACTCCTCAAGAACCCCTTCCTTTTAGGTTGCTGAATCTTGACCCGATGTCGCCGTCCGGACTAGATTCAGAACCCTGTTGGCGAATGCCGTGCACTACTTGCCCGGCTCTTGACGGAAGCACGATAACTTCTGGCGAACCACGCAACGTTGTTGGGGGCCCTCAAAAAAAACGCAAATGGGAGACTACGATTCCACGAGACTTCCGTGCGTCGCTGCCCAGCTCCTCCACCTTTTCGCGAGCTACGCCTTCTAAGTGCCTGATTAGGAAATTAGTTCGCTGCTTTTCGGTAAGGGTCGTGAGACGCATACGCATAACGCATAACGCGTAACCATATCGAAAATTGAGCACCATCCTCATAGTATCCCGTGAAAAGAAGAGCGCGGGACCCTGTGAATCCGGTTGAAATGTTGCCACCAGCGGAAGGTTGTCGACGTGCTTGCCCACTGCAGCGGAGAACTGATTGAGTTGCTCCGTTAGCACCGTGTTGACTTTGTTAATTCTTTTGGACAGCAGGGCTACTATGGCGCGCGAGTCGTGCGACACCTGGGTGATCACCGAAGAAGTGGCATCGCGCAGGGTCTTGACGTCGCGTCCGAGGAGAGGGTATCGTCCTAAGCATCAGCGAAGCCTGGCATCACCGACGGAACGAAGGACTCGATCTCCGACGGTTTGATATCAGAAAATTGGGTCCAAACCCGGAGAGAAAAGTTTGAGAGTTGGCAAGGCTACGGCTGATAGACATGAAGAGAGAAGATGAGGAGGGGGACAAGACAGGTTTATGTATCGAGAATTATGGGAAGTATGGAGAAGTTATTGAAAAATGTGAAAATGTTGGTTTAAACAAAAAAAATAAGGGACGGAGATCACCAGCTAGTGTGGATTACCCAAGAAGGCTCTGAAGGAATGTTGGTAACGATGTTGCATTTATTTCGCCAAACGGAAATAGCGCCGATCTCAGAACATTCCTACGCTAAGCTCGATAGATACGGTCGTCTGAGAACATGCGAAACAAGAGCAAGAGGCACGGCGAATACGCCTTTAGAGACATTTACAGCATGAAAAAACGGCTGCCTCGAAATTACGTCCCGCGGACAGGGTATGTGGTGAGAACCCAAGAAGACTGAAGACTCGAGCCTAACAATTAGGAAGGAATCGCTAACGGCCTCATCCCATCTCACTCGAGCTTAGACGATGCGCGTCCTATTACCATTATGCAGCTTTGCACCGTTCTCGTAACCCTGAGAATAGTCGATAGATGTGCAGCCTCACAAATATCAGCGTAACGATAAGGCGACCAAAGACGAGGAAAGTTACGCTGCGTGCTGATGCAAGGGGCAATGACCCGAGCGATAGGCAAAAAAGCTGCGAGGGAAGCCAACAGGCGTAGCCAAAACGGCAATGAGATGCAGAGAGAAGCGAAGGGAGGAGAGCTGGGAGAAGCAGTGAAAATTCTCTTATAGAGTCAATAAAACGGGCAAGGAAATGAAAGAAATCCCAAAAAACGATCAGAGTGTATTCCAAAAAAAGCGCTCGGGTGCTTAGGATAACCTAAGCCCTAGACTGGCGGTCACTCACTAGGAGGGTGCACATCACAACCTTCTTTACACGTATTAATCTGTTGACATAACTGCTTGAACTGCTTGGAGCTATCGGAAAAAGAACTATTCTCTTCCTTATAATGCACACTATTCTACTGGTATAGTACTGAATACCCGGTCAGGACAGACTGAGCAAACAATACAGGGCTCCTTATACTCTACAATACGGGCTGACAGCTGCCCGTGGAAGTAAAATCATCACCAATCCGGATGCATGATGTGGATAGCAACTGAGACGAGGTCCGATGTCGATGAACGACACCTTGACTAGATGAAAAAATAATGAAAGTGGAAAGGAAAAAAAGGTTTGAGGCAGAGGCATGCCCTTAAAGGAGGGAAAGAGCCAAGATGATAATGAAGAAGACGGGAAGCCAGAAAAAAAGAAGAGGAGGATGAAGAAGGAATCCAAGAGGAAAAATTCTACTTCAGCTCTTTCCGGCGATGCTTCTGAACACCCCCTGCCGGCAAAGGAATTGAGTCAGAAAAATGCCCCTTTGGGCTAAACAATGGGGGCAGCGGTCAATGACTTTCAGTAGCGCTCAAAAGTCTTCGGCCAAACACTTTGACGCTTTTTCGTTCATAACATTTTCTTAGTGGACCAGATCGCGCGATATTCATACCTCTAACTAGAGCATATTTCACACTACCCAACACTATTTGATTACAAGCAGCAATATCCACATAACTAACAAGGGAAAGATACTTGACCGCAGTGGCCATTCAAGACGAGATGTATACCTTTGTAGGGGTTTCGAATGCTGATCTCAAATCTGTGTTACAAATCTGCGAAACGATTCTGGGAACAAAGTTACGGGACCAATTCCTCGCTGTATTATACCACTGCACTGAACGGGTCACCGAGCCGAGCAAAGCCCTTTCCTGTGCAACGGTGGCCTAACGGGTGGTGTGGTGGACTAGTAGGCATGACATCAAGGTTCGATTCCTTGATGTATGCGCTCGTTTTGTTTTCCCATGAAATGCGTTCTAAACGCTTGCAAAACGTTTTTGGGCTCAATGTTGGGCATCTATAGGGCTCCCTCACAATTTCAGAACACTGGAAAGGTATTTCGAGGGAAGCTTCTTCTGCTCCTCACCGACGAAATAAGGGTAAAGCTCCAGCTTCAGCAGAAGAATTCCAAACATGCTCGAAATGGGCTCAAGAGGCTTCAAGGAGAAAGGATCCAAATGATTTATCTGACCAAACGCTTTTCGACATATTACCAGCGAATCTTCTGACCGAATGTGGTGTCATCATATTTGATGGAGGAATTTCGTTCTTGCAGGACCTTTAGGCCTGACACTTCTATAGCGACCATCATTCTTTTTTGTCTCATGCGAAGCATGAAATTTTTTCGCAGATCACGAAAATTTGTACTGACGGGCAAGCAGTTCAAGAAGGGTGTTTGGTATGTAATAGGAAAGTTTGTCCAGCTCGGCTGGAGAATTAGCATGGTATGCATAACTTTTGATTTTGAAACATGTATTTTGTCAAAGCAACGCTTCTGTATACACAATACTCTTCAGCAAGGGCGACGGTGATTAATCAAGCAATAACTTCAACCTTTTCTGACTCTTAATTTTAACAAATATTTTGGTTTGGGCTGTGTGTGGTCATGAAGGGCCTCCGATGTATCCAAATCAAATACCTCTGCAGTCCATGTAGTCAAAGAAACTGTGTAGTTTGGGCTGTGTGTAGCCATGAACACTGATTGAAAGAACAGCCCCTTTGAGTAGTTGTAAGGATTTGCACGTCTTTACAGGGTATGCTGTGGCGGGGCTATTGTAGAGTTTATTTCATGAGGTCTAAAGTTAATGTAGTGCATTTGCTCTTATGTAGGAGGGAATTCTGTGTGTGGAATCATGAATACCAACTTTTGAAAAATTTATAGCCTGATTTTTGAAAGAGTTTAGTGGTATCCCCTAGTTGTACACCTATGTGGTCAGGGTTAGTGTGAAGGACATACATACGTATGGATTCTTCATCTCAGGCCCCCCCCTCTTTGCAAACCCTACCCACTTCATACTTCGAACCACATTGCTTTCACTTCCCACAGACACCCCTTGCCTTCTAAAACGCATCTGAAGAGACTTGACAATTTTGATCTAAGTTCTGCCCACTTAAGTGCCAACACCGCCCACTTCTGGTATTTGCCCACATTTGTTGTTTTACACCTTAACACCTTTTTGCCGATCCCAGAAAGTTCCTGAATAGAGCTATGAATTTTTGATCTGAGCCCCGCCCACTTTGGTGCCAACTCCGCCCACTTCGAGGATTTGACCACATTTGGTCCATTACCTCTAACCACGTTTTTCCCGCTCTTTAGAACGTTTTTGAACAAAGTTACAGTCATTTTTGAAAAGTAGCTTTCACCTCAACGCACGCCCCGCCCATCGTGGGCGAGGCTTCGCTAAGCTTACCCATGCCCAGCACGCATAAGGTCTTGCTCACTCTTTTTATTTTTTCCTGGCCTCGACGCCTTCGCTGAATCGAGTTACGAATCTGTGGAAAGTGCCGCCCTCTGCGAGAACGCTCCGCCCACCGCCGGTAAGTTCCCTATATTTTAATTGTTAACCCATCCCTCACCTTCGCATAAAAAAATCAAAATAAAAAAATAAAATAAAATAAATAGGGACAAAATAGACATAAAATCAACAGAGAAGTCCCACTGCACAACAGCCATCTCCACTGGATACCGCTTCAAATCAGTAATGAAGGCCCAGAGGAGACAATTTCAAAGCAGTCGTAGGCGAATCCTGGGTTTTGAGTACAGCCGTGGTATCATGCTTCACCGTACCACCACGCTTACCTCATAGAAGGGCCTCTTGGAAGGGCGTCCACCTCAAGAATAGATTCAGCGGATAACCATATGTACATACAAAGCGATAAACTATTGTCCTACAATATTTTCTCAACAATGCTGCCAGTTAACTTGGACCACTGCTTCGAAATCGCTGACAGTATTACTAGAATGTGTGGACCGTATCCGTCCCAAGGAGAGATGTGGTGGGATGAGTCATGCGACCGCCATCTACCGTAGGTGCAGGGAGCTGCCGAAGATTACGAAACACCATCTTAACTGTTCGGGGTATAGAGGCGTACATATATATTCGGTCAGTTGAGGTAAAAAATTACTGGTTTACTATTCCCCGAAGTCCTAAATCGTGAGGGTGCCTTGTAGATGCCCAACAATTAGCCCAAAAACGTTTTGCAAGCGTTCGGGAGGCATTTCACGGAAAAGCAAAGCGAGCGGATGCATCAAGGAATCGAACCTTGATGTCATGCCTGCCAGTCCACCGCACTGGCCGGTAGGCCACCATTGCACAGTACTATGTTTGCTCGGCTCGGTGATCCGTTCAGTGCAGTTGTATAACTCAGGGAGGCGTTTCGGTCCCGTAATTTTGTTCCCAGAATCGTTTCGCTGACTTGGAACACAGATTTGAGATAAGCGTTTGAAACCACCTGCAGTATACATTTCATCTTGAATGGCCACTGCGACCTAGTATCCTTCCCGTGTAGGAGCAATACTTGTTCCGGTAGTAGACTTCGCTAAAAGCAAAATTAGCGACGCATGCAGCTATTCGCACCTAATGTGCGCTTTACTCCTCTACTGAGTTCGGCATTAGTGCATTAGTGCTCATACACTTTAAACATGGCAAGGAAAGAGATTCTAAAAGGACCACCATCCGTATTTCCAGTTGACTTTGAATTCAAGTTCTTTAGTATATCTTTAACTTGATCAGATAGTAGGCTAATAGTGGTATTCACAATACACCCATGCTACACATATTGAAATTTCGCATGATCACATCCAGTAGGTAATGAGTTACGACTGAAAAGTACGGTTGAAGAAGCTTTGGCCAGAGACCTTTGAGCGTTACTGTACTCTGAACGAGAGTCGATCGACAAGCTCAAAAAAAAAGAAAAAAAGCAACCGTATAGAATAGTTTTGGACGGCACCACAAATGATAAAAGGACTTACTCAAGCCCGGCTGGTGAAAGGCCGCGCTGCTACCAGTTATAGCTGGCAGGTAAAGCTGACTGACAGATCCCTGCGAATGTGTAATATCATGCGGCTAAACCTTTATTACTATAGATATCAGAATAATACAGTACAGAACAGTAACAATCAGTCGTACACGGAGCGCCTCCTGAGCCCGAGGCTGCCGGGCTCGGCTCGCCTTGGAATGACTCTCTCGGCTCCTCTTCGTCGTCGGTCCAATGTTGCTGCCTCGCCGCCTCGTTTCTCCGCGATGGTCTTTAAGCTTGTAAGTTAGCTGTAAACTATCATACGACTCACCCCATGCCCTCTTTGACCGTTCAACTAGAAATGCTACCACTTACAATACGTAAATACATACATACACATACACATACACATACATATACATATACACATACACATACGTACATATACAAACATATACGTACCTAGATATACATACACATACATATATACATACACATATATATATCATACACACATATACATACACATATATACATATATACATACACATATACATATACATGCACACATACATACACATACATATGTGCTTACACATATATGCGTACACATACATACATACACATAAATACAGGGCAACAGCCTCTTAAATATCGTCTTATATTTCCAGTATACCTTGGCTCACGTTCCTGTTCTGGTGCTCGAATGCTGAAAACGGTGATAAGGGTTAGATCGTTTCTCGTAGCCATTTCCCTTTCAGATAATGGGTTGGCTGTAATCTGTACCATCAGACTAATATCGCCTATTGTCAAAAAATATCGAATTTATCAGAACATTTTCTCAAACTTCGTTACCGGAAGAATCTTCAGAAATATGGTGCTGAGAGCCGTCTTGGTAAAGATCGAGATTATCTTGAAATTACATTCTGGAATCCCCGGAGCACCCGCTCACAAACGGGAAGAATAAAGATTTGTAGTGAGAAACTTTCGCGATTTCATTCCCGTTTCCGATTGGCCTTCGGATTCCCGGGACCGCAATTTAATGGACTAATGGGAGGTTCCGGAAAGGAACACAATTGCTGCTCCTCGGAAGTCGTTGATGAGTACTTGACTTTGCGTGCCGCCGTCGATGAGTGCTTGAAGTGTCTTCAAGCCATAATTGATGGAGTAGACGGCTGCGTCGAGCAACCTGAGTTCATTTTGTTGAAGCAAAGAAAATTTTACAGAAATCTACCATGTATCACTATGATTTGTGGTTTTTGTAGCCCAATTATTTTGCTGCAATTTTTATGGCTCATCCTGTATAGTAGGATGTTTTAATGAATTGTCACGAGGAAAAGTTCTTGTTTAGGATGTTTTGAGCGAAAACACAGGCGGTGGTATACATCTAGTCTTAAATTTCCCTTCCCAATTTTTTACGCCCCCTATAGCAATACAGCAGTGTAATAGGCAAGGTTCAGAAGCGATTCTAGTGTGAACCCTGGTTACGCTGACAAACCCGTTGTTGACCTGTAGGTTTGCGCGCGGCATTGAACTAACCCAGTTCGAAGTGTGCGCGTGCATGCGTTGTGTTTTGCTTTTGTGGAAAACTCAGAGACGGCACGAATGGTGCTGCCGAGCAATATTAGTGAGAATCGCCAGGGCTCAGCCGCACCGGATGCTTGACAATCCAATGATAGAACTTGCTGGTTTGGTTTTGTGAAACGATTGGATCTTGCTCACCTAAATGAATAAATGAGTCAGTGCAACTATATAGTACACTACATTTTCAAAATACAGCATCATGTACTTAATAGCGGAAATAAGAATGAGAAGTGGTAAGAGCAAACTACAACAATTGCGATTTCATGCTAAATACTCTATTCATCGATCGGTTTCATGTTCCTGACTTTCATTGTCGGTCGAGGTAAGGACCTTCCAGCAAGGGAGGGTATGTCATAAACTAAACAAGTTTATCTGAATTTTTAATTAGTATTTCTACATGCGTCCGCCCGTAATGGAGACATGTATAAATAAAAATGAAATGATGCAATGGCTTTCATACTAATGAAATATTAAGATGGTCCGAAGTTCTCCTCACGATCATTATTTTTAGAAAAGCGTTCTCAGAATTTGAGTGTTGGTCAGTCATTTTGTGTTCATGTGAAGGCAACAGTCAGTGAGGCTTAGGAACTTTTGTTGGAAAAACTTCTTCACTTCGTTGGAGCCAGGATTGGACAGGCTTTCATTAGGTACAACACATAAGCATGAGTACATGAGATCACGGGCACAGATGTGGACATTGCTTCCATTCAAGTTGAGCAAGGCCTCTGTTGTCTTAATGTTTACAATAATGTTCTCAGGGTGGAGAAGACGAGCTTATCTTGACATCGGCTACGACTTCAATCACGACGACTGCACCCATCCGCATTCCTGTCTCACTGCGTCAACAGGTTCATTTTCTTATGCTGCTCATGAGACATGTTTTTATTTTTGTTATTCATGTGTATCACTCAGACGTCAAGTCGGTTCAGCGCTCCTGACAACCAATTTCATACCGCCGACTTAGCTAACGAGAGAGTTGGTCATTCCTTCGCTGCCATGTATTTCTTGAACATAATGATTGACTCCAATAAGTTTAAGCCTTGCAGCAATTCGTCATTGATGACTTAACGATCCGATCGCAGTCATCCTACGAACTCCTGAAGCATGTTGCTGCAGAGATCATCTCATTATCGAAGGTGCTTTCTTCTTAGCATGTGTAGGTATAACAGCTTATCTGGCAAGTCCAGTGGAATGCTTTTAAACTACCATTTATCGTCAAGATTGCCTCTCAAAAAACATGTTCACGCCAAGGAACGTCTCAAGTGTATTCGTCAGTCTTCAGAGGGTGCCGACCAAATACTCAGAAAAATCAAAATTCAAAGATAGAGAAGCGAATTTTTATGAAACAACTCCGAGTTAGCATAGAACCAAGGCTCTGTTATTTATATGATTACTGTTTTCAATTTTTAACAGGTTGGCGACCATGCGTCCCGCATGTTTTTGGCTCGCTGGGACAATGCGTACCGATGTCGGGGCGCAGGATAAAAGTGAAAATATTTTTGTAGCTTACGTTAAAAAACAACATTAAATATCAACATTAAACGACGCAATAAAATGGCTTGGTCCCACGCTGCGCGCGGTCAAAAAAGGCTGCGGTTGCCAACGTGTTAATCTATGCAAATTGATTTATAGCGCACATTGTCGACAGAGAATTAGTTATGTCCTAATCTCAATCCGACGGAAAATCTGTGGGGCATCATTGTAGAGAAGATTTACGTGAACAACCGTCAGCTCCATACAATAAAAGAGCTGAAGCAGGCGATAATTAAAGCTTGGAATGAAATCTCCAGTGAAGTACTTCGAGACCTTGTTCTGAGTATGCCACGGAGGCTATTCGATGTTGGGCTAGAACAAAGGCCCATCGAATGTTAATTGTGATATTTTTGTCATTATCATTGATTTGATCAAAGTCCCAAGGTGACCTTATACTATGAAAGGTGCAAAAACCGACAACTATTCGTAAAAATGTTAAGGCAGAAGTTGGTTCAGCCAAAGAATGTGGAGGGAGTTTATTCAAATTGGTAAATCCGATAGAAGTGCTCAAAACGTATGCATTTGGCTGCTTATCCTAAGGATGCCAGATGACCTTATGCTTATGAAACCCATTGTAGTTGCTATGTATTTCTCTCATCCACATGTGTTTTTTAAACTCAAGTGTATCTCCATGTATCAAAGGGATCTGCTCTTCAATATTTGATTCGACCTGGTTATGTATTATCAGGGGTCAGCAATGTTTTGAGGCAATTCACTCAGTTTCTTCAACACAAAATATCCACAGCAATAAATTTACAGAGGAAGGATACTTGGTCGCAGTGGGTTCGAGATGAGATGTATACCGCCGTAGGTAGTTTCGAATGCTTATCTCGAATCTGTGTTTCAAATCTGTTAAACGATTCTGGGAACAAAGGGGACCAGTCTCTCCCTGTGTTATATCACTGCAATGAACGGATTACCGAGTCGAGCAAGCCCTTGCCTGCGCATCGGTGGCCTAGCGGATAGTGTGGTGGACTGATAGGTATGACATCAATTTCGATTCCTTGACGCACGCGCTCGTTTTGCTTTTCGATAAAATGTGTCATGCACGCTTTGCAAAACGTTTTTTGGGTTCAATATTGGCCATCTAAGGTGCGAACTCACATTTTAGGATTCCGGGTAATACTAAACCAATGAAATTTTTTACCTCAACTGACCGAATATATACGCCTCTCTACCCCGAGCAGTCAAGATCGTGTTTCGAAACCTTGGGCAGCTCCCTACACTTACGGTAGACGGCGGTCGAATGACTCATAGAACCATAGCCCTCTTTGGGAGGGATACGGTCCATACAATCTTCTGATACTGTCCGCGCTTTCGAAACGGTGGTACCGGTCAAGTAGCATTGTTGAAGAAGTACTGTAGAACGATAGTTGATCGCTTTGGGTGCACGTATGTATCCACTAGTTCTTAAGGTGAAGCCCTTCCAGGAAGCCCTTCCATGGAGTAAACCTGGTGGTGCGGTGGGGCACGATACCACGGCCGCTGTATTATATCAACACTAACAACTCGAACCAGCTTTACTTTATTGTATTTCATTTTTGATTTTTTTTATTCCTGTCATAACGTTAGAATTTCGTCCACGCCGGTACTCCTCTACTCCTAAAACATAGGAAGGGGTAGTTTACATTTTCCCAGCTATAAATAAGTTGAAAAATAATAGCCCATAATGCAATTCAACTCACATGAATATTTTCAAGAAACAGGATACTTGGCGGCGATTAGCTTCCACGTTCGTACAGGAGATCTTCGCTATTGAACCGCCACTTCCATAGGACTTCAAAGAAATGGTCGTCCCATAATTCCCCTTTCAGCCCATGGCGCAAACGGATCTTCGCTTTCAAATGACCCCAGAAGTTTTCTATGCGCTGTGTATGCGCTCCTGTCGTGGGGTCCACAAAGTTTTCGCAGTGGTTGACCGTTTCGTGCTGGTAACCCAAGTTGGACAGGTTGTTATAACCTTTCCACTTCTCCGTGCGGATGACCCCTCCAGGTAGGACGTATTTCTGGATGATAGCATCCAGAGATGTAGAGCTGCGATCGTCCGTGATCTCTACAAACACTAAATTCGTCTTATCCTCAATACCTCCAACGAGCCAGTCTTTGCGGACGATGCGACCCACATTATACTTCCGTCGAACAATACACGTCTCGTCCACCTGTACCACTGTATTGGGTCCTCCTATTTTCTTCACGTTGTTGGTGTAATAATCAACCAGCACGTCACGAAACCACTGCGTCCACTGAATGATGATCCTCTCATTTACTTCCAACGTTCGCGCCATCTCCTTCACAAGTCCGAGATCGTAGGCAAAGAGGTAGCTCGCCAGGAAGATCTTCTTGCGGTCGCCACGCAGTGTTTCGAGGAAGGTATCCTTCAAGTACCCGAACTTGTGAGGAATCCCTGGTTGACGGCATGTCCGTCTGCAACATTCAAACTTCCAACGGACGCAATCCTCCTCCTTCTTCCCTTGCTTCGTCAGCTTACAAGGATTCCCACAGTTTGGGCACGATCGGGTCTTCCACAGCAATCCACAATCCGCCAACCAATCGTCGAACTCCTCATTCGACTTGGATGCGAGCGCCGGCCACGTTGTTCGCCGGCCAGTGCCGGCCACCTCGAAGCGACAGTAGTCGATCAGCCATAACCGCGGGTTGCATTGAAATGAGAAGTAATCCTATTATCAGTAGAGTTAGTGTATCAAAATGATGACCTGTTGTTACAGGCCAAAGAACGTGTGCTTGGCGCACGGCTTCTTTGACCTGAACTAACATGTCAGCATTTGAAGACGCGGAGGGTGGCCGTCCCCCAACTACATTTCCACCCACAGGGAGAGACTGGTCCCTCTAACTTCGTTCCCAGAATTGTTTAGCAGATTTGAAAACAGATTTGAGATCAGCTTTCGAAACTACCTGCGGCGATATACATCTCATCTTGAATGGCCACTGCGACCAAGTATTCTTTACTTGTTAGATCGGTAATCAAGATAGTGGCCTTTTTTTGACAAAATGTCTCACCATTAACCGAACAGGGCATTGACGCCACTCCCCTAATATGAAGAGAGGCGTAACGCAATTCTGCTAAAATATTCTTGTGCCGTGAGAGGTTGTTAGGTGGAACATTTATTAATCACAACGGCCTAACGTTTCGACGTTCTCGTCGTCTTCAGAGGCCTAAAGCAACTCGAGACATTTGCACAGTATCCAA